CAAATTGAAAACGCACCTTTGTAACTTTAATATTAGAGCATTATCTGTGTACATTTTGTGAAGATACTTGGTCTCACCATCTACTGTTATAACTGTCATTTTGTTCATTTAAAATGTGGGTACATTCTGCTTGTGTATTTTGTTTTTTTAATGTTGTTACATGAGTCTTTACATTTTTCTTATTTGTGTATTTTGATATTCTGTTGTTTTTCTTGGATTTGTCCTGACTCTAACCGTACCATGTTACTCTGATGCCAAATACATTTGACACAAGTAAATTGCATCTATCTGTGAAAGCTTTTAATGTATACATTTCCCCCCAGGCCCAATCCCCCTGTCCACATACATGCGTATTTACAAGAAGGGTGACATTGTTGACATCAAGGTAAGATGCTGTTTACAAACACATCTCTATGTTAAATAAAGAAACAAAAATCACATTTTCACACATTTGTTCGCACACTAAAGTATGATGAACAGCACAAGGTTTACATAAGTTTCACCTCAAACTTTCCTCATCTTTATCATAAAATGCAGGTGCATGAAGTATATATTTTGTAGAAATGTTTTTAGGTATTAGACATGGTAGTCTAATGTTTAATGAGACCTTGTGATTTCTCTCCAGGGCACAGGTACCATTCAGAAGGGTATGCCCCATAAGTGCTACCATGGCAAAACGGGACGAGTTTACAACGTAACCCAACATGCTGTCGGTATCATTGTTAACAAGCAGGTCAAGTAAGTACAAGATTATATTTTAATTAATAAAGTCAGGCTTTAATAATAAAACCTGACTAAAGAGCACTTTTTAGTCTCTTTAGTCTCTGTTAAGTTTTTTGATGTTCTCACTGTTTTGTTTTTTTTTTTTTTTTTGTTTTTTGTTTTGGTCATTTGTAAAGTGCTTTTATTTATCCATATCTGCCTGCATTTAAATCTTCATTTTCTAAAGTCAAATGACATTTGTTTTAGTGGAACAACAGTTGTAATGTTTTATTTTATGTCAATATGTGAATATTATGGATTTTATTTGCTTAATTAGTGTCAAGTTTCCAACATGTCTTCAAACACTAGACTTAGAGATTTCATTAATTCCTGTTATAATTGAACAGATTGTTCAGTGCATAAGAAGAAAAAAAACAACTTGTGACCTCACTCATATGGTTGGTTCATTAAAAAGGGAATTTTATTTATCTGCTTGTTTTTGCACCCCATCTTCACTTTGCCATAAGGATACCTGTGTCCTCTGTGGTCATTCCTGTGGGGTAGAGTATCACCTCCTTAAACACTCCAGTCTGACTATTGTTGGACCTGGGGTTGTGTTGAGGAGACAGCACAGAAGTTCTGATACGTCAACATTGTTGCCTTAAATGTTGTGCTAACGGCAGGTTGACATGCACCATCTGTTTAAAGGTTATGAGCATTTTTATTGTTTGGGATTTAAACAGGGGCAAGATCCTGGCCAAGAGGATCAATGTGCGCATTGAGCACGTGAAGCACTCAAAGAGCAGGGACAGCTTCCTGCAGCGTGTCAAAGCAAACGAGAGCAAGAAGCTGGAGGCTAAGGAGAAGGGCACCTGGTTTGAACTGAAACGTCAGGTATGATGTGGAAAATGATAAAGAAGTTAATTTTTGTTCAAAGTTTTACTTCTTTGTTATGCTTTTCTTATTTGATCACTTTTTTTTTCAACTTTATAAATGGTTTATCTCCACAGCCCGCTCCTCCACGTGATGCTCACTTTGTCAGCACCAAGAAAAACGAGCCACAGCTCCTGGAGCCCATCCCCTATGAGTTCATGGCATAAAGTGCTCACGGAATAAAAATGTTTGTATACCCAACACGCCACTGACCTTGTCCTCATTTCAATAAATATTGTTTACATTTCTTCATTTTCTTCTGTACACTGCAAAACCTCTATGTATTAGCGGTGACTGCTGTAAGTCAAGAAGTCATTGATTTATGGCAGAAATGGAAAAAAGTAAAGATAGTTGTACAGCATACATAGTTGTACATACTGAAGCCGGTATGTGCAATGTGCTTAAAGATAGTAATGTTGAAGAGGTTTCCTTGGATGAAATAAAAGTGAGTATGATTAGATATCTAAATATCATAGAGACATCTGGGGGTGAAATGTTTGGACATCAGTAGTAGAGACATGATTGAGATGGACCAAATGTCATAACACAATTAATGATTTGAGTTGGTGCTGCCAAAAAGTAAGAGGATGATCACAATGGAACCTGGAAAAAACACTTGACAGTTAACAGACTGGTATATTATGATATGATCTGTTGGGGTCAAACATTTCTTTTATATGATAGCCCTATTTTGCTGCTTCATATTTTTCTTCTGTTTCTTTGTTCTGTTTATCTTTTACCTCTTGTCGTTTTTCTGATTCTCTCTACCAATTATATTTCTTTTCACAGGTTAAATATGACAACCAACGTCTAATTTAACCAATTAAAACGAAAGATAGTTTTCAGTTATTTATTCCTGTGATTTGCCAGAAAAATGGTCGATAAAACGGCTAATGGCTAACGTAAATAGCGGCTGTCAAGAAAACGCTTGAATTCCATTGGCAGCAGTTGTTACACTATTTGGCCACAAGGTGGCACTGTACTACGTTCATTTAAAGTTTAACCCCAAACCGCGGACATTGTCATTTTCCAGTGCCCAGAGACGTTACAGATGTCGGTGTATTGATTAAAATAGAGTTTATAAACGTCATTGTTTGATACGGAGTGGAGCCACAGAAACCACACAGTATAACACGACGTTTAACAAACGACCCAGCCTCGGGACACACTTCACCTGAATCTCTCAGTCATGACCCAATTCTTTGACGCTCTCGTTTTAACTGTACAAAAATAGTAATGTAATACATCGCCTTGATTGAAAGGTTGAGTGATATGACCTAAAATTGACATATTTTTATGATATAACATCATATCATTTTATTAGATATAACATACAATATATAGGCTACTTATAATAATATAATAAAATGTGTTAAACGTCCGTTATCCAACATGGCTGCCCCACAGAGAATTTGTTTTCTCACAACATTTAAAAAAAATAAAACAAGTGTTAATTTTGGACGATTTATTTTTGGACGAATATTTTTTATTATAAAGTGTTGAAGAACTTAGAAGAAGTTAAAGGACTATCCAGTCCTACGTTTCTCAAAGTTTAGTTCAGAATTACCGTTGTTGTGTAACATTATCAATACTTTCTACTGAATTCATTGTTTAACTGCTCCAGTACAACATTGATTTGTTACAATAATATACTGTGTCATGTATCAGCTGTTGAATAACACACCCCTCAAGAGTAGCAATTATTTATTTATGTTACCATAAATAAAACATATACATCATTTATAGGCAGACATGAACAGCTTCTTGTGGTGTGAGTGTGTGTGTTTGTGGAGCACTTGGTGTGTGTGTGTGTGTTTAATCAGTGGAGGCTGAATGGCTGGCTGGTTATGTGACTAATAGGTTATCTCATCCCACCTCAGTACTTTACCCAATATTTACACGAATTAGGACCAGTTTGCAGAGATACGGTCTGCAGCTGACAAGATGGAGTGTCTGCAAGTGCGTGTGTGTGTGTTTGAGAGAGAGAGACAGGGAAACAGAGCAAGGAAAGGAGACAATCATTTTTATATACCAAGAATCTTGTTAAAGAATAATTCACCTTGAGTTAATGTTGAGAGAAAAAATGTTGAATATTAGGAATAAGGGAAGGAGTGATTGTCCATAATCCCAAACTGGCTGCTGCTGCTGCTGATGGCACCTTCTGGAGCATCAAACCAAGAGTCATCTTTTTAACCCTGCTGGCCTAAGGTCAGGGAATCCAGACCAGGGTTTTATCAGGGCAGAGTAATAAGTATCCAACAACCTGAGGAGATAAAACCAGGAAAACAGATGGAAAAATAAAACCCAATCAATCAGTGTGTGGACGGACAGCTAAAGCCCTTGGTATTGATCCCTACTGGCTGGATTTAGCTTCAAGTATTTTAGATAAGAAAAAAAAAGTCATGTATATGAATGAAATTATATTCCCACAGATCCAACACATTTCATATCAAAACATTTCCATTTCTATAGTGTTGTTGTTTTTTAAAATCAAATTTTTAGTTACTAAAATCTGACATCTGATCAGTTTCAGTTTAAAGCCGACCTCTTCATCTACAGTAGGTCCATTGTGAATGTGTTTGTGTGTGTGGGTGAGTGTATGTGTGTGTTCTCACAGATACACCAGGGTGTCATGTGTGGCACTGACTCATGGAAGTTACTGATTGAAAGATGAATAGTAAACAGAGAGAGAGAGAGAGAGAGAGAGAGAGGAGGATTGTGGATAAAAGCGTCGGAGCACTATGAACTCCTTAATCACACACGTTTGACAGACACAGATTGAGTCTGTCAGCTCAGAGCAGCAGCTCAGAGCAGCTGTATCGACTCAGGGTGTTACATATTAACCACACACAACATGCACACACAAACACACTGACTTGCAGTACAAATGTGGAAAATCTACCAAACCATACCTTAGAAACAATATGCTAAATGTTGGCTTGGTAGATGACAAACAGCACAGATATACAGTGGAGAAAACAGGTGGAAGAGCTCAAAGTTAGCTAAATACAGATCTGAACATTAGCTTTTTGATATGACAGACAAAATTTGGCTGTGAAATTTAAGAGCACATAAAAGGGTAAAACTGTTATCTGAGTTTATGTTAAACGTACCTTAAAGGTGTAAATAATATTTCCACTATAATAATTGTTTTAAAAGTTAGGAACTCAGTTTTCTTTATTATTGTACACAAGAGGATTTAATTCCTAAAAATAAAACCTCAGAAAAAAACCAGTGAAAAAAGCTGCGATCATGACAGTAATATTTTTGATTGTCGTGTGAGAGTGTGACCCTGTGTGTGAGTGTGTGTTCCCACGTGATCTGTGTGTTTGGGATCGGCCCGAGGGTTTGACAAAGGCCGCAGGAAATCCCGGCTCAGTCCAAACAGAGTGCATGCTGTATCTCTGTGTGTGATAGGTGTGGTGATAGGGTCGGTGGTTATCAGAGGTGGGGGCAGGCGTGCTCATATATGTGCATATTGGGCCAGCTGTATTGATCCGCGGGGCCTGACAGCAGAAGAAGAGGAGGCGCTGGTGGTGGGACGGACCGGATGAGGAGAAGGAGGCTGATAAGAGTGTGGACTGACAGAGGCCTGTTCACCTGCAGCACGGCAGGGCAGTGAGTGAACGCCCAACAGGCTCTCAATAGGCCTTATTCACAAAAGTCAGTCAAAGGTTTCCTGTGAGAGCATGGCTGTGGGCCGACGGGGTCATCTGACATGTTTGGACAAGCAGATAATGTCAGTGGATTGTTAGTCACTCTGACTGGTTTTTAACCTTTAACTATTTTGCCCTCAGAAAATGTAAGGCGTATTTATACACCTTCAAAATCAAACTATAATGAACTAGTGTTCATTATATGTGGGAAAGTTCTAATCAGCCAGGATTGTTAAAAAATGTTAAGGAACGACACTATAAAATATGTGTCTTTTTTTTTCTTTTAAAAAAGTCGTTTTATTGTTGCTATGCAAGGAGACTTGACATTTAATTTTATAATAAATGTTGTTACTGTGTTTGGGCAAATTTTAAATTATGTTTAAAATCAACCATAGTTTTTTATATCAACTTGTTGCCATTCTTTTTTGCTACTTAGTTTATCCTGTTAGCTTTAGCAGAAGCTGGCTTTTCCTAACCTTTTTCTATTCTAACTTTATTTTAGCTAGAATTTAGCATTGCATGTTTATTATTTTTACTTTTTTCCTCTGTGAGTTTTTTGTCTTTATAAAACTATGTTCTATTGTTTTTCTTTAGCTTAACCTCAGGCCCCACCCTCGATGATGTTTGGCTGTTTGATAAACGTAACGTAAATATCAAAAGGATTGTGCAGCGATAGCTGACGTTCACTTCCTGTGTTCTTAAAAGGTACCTTAATTATGTGTCGTATTTAACACTGATAATTAAAAAATATATAGCAAAATTCTATATCTTAGATAATATTTTGATTCAAATGTGACAATTTATTTGGTTTAGACAATATTAAAATATTGTCAGTGAAATAAATCCTACTGAGGCCAACCCGTGGGACCAGACACATTGTTTGGGAACGACTGTGTCAAAGGCCCTGAGAATGACGATTTTAATTCTTGACATAACAATAAATCACAGCTATCAGAAAACAATATTGTAGGGTTGATAAGATTAAGATTAGAACACTGAGTACCGAGTGTGTGTGTGTGTGATTACTGCAGACAGACAGTCGCCTCTCTCCTTGCTTGTTCACCTCAGACAGAACAGAAATAGCAAGGAGCCTGGGTGACACTTTTAAAGCCTGGATCAATAAATACGAGAGTCTGAGTCATGAAAGTTAATAATGTCTGGGCGTCAGAGGCGTCAGTGCTAAACCTTGGTTATTCTTCAGGTCACACATTTCCCACTTGAAATACACTCCCACACCAGACTACTGAAGCCTGGTGTCACATGTTTGAATCTCACTGGAATACAACTTCACCCCTATGACCACAGGTGGTACAGTCCAATAAGATAAATGCAGCACAGGTGAGCAGCAGGCTGTAGGTCAGTGCATGTCCTGCTCCTTAACCAGACTAGTTTGTCTGTGACCACAACACCACATCTGACATTCCTTATTAAAGATGGGGGAGAGGTTACAAAGTCAGAAGAGCTACATTTGCTCATTTTTCGATTGCAAAGCTAAATTTACTAAGTCGTGGAAGCTAGAGGCTCATCTGTGCAAACACACGGGGTTGGTAAGTGGCTCGGGGTTGGTTGGAAGGAGCCCAAACATCGTGACATAACTTGTGAACGTGACGACTAGTAAATCGAGCTGATTACAATTGGTATAAATGATGTTTCACAACAGAAACCCTTCTCCTGTGAAAGCTGTGACAAGAGCTTTTGTACTCGGTACCAACTGACCAGACATGAGCTCACCCACAGTGGTGAGAAACCACACAAGTAAGTCTCTGATTGGGGTAAAAAATAAAGTCACTTTCTGCTCTGTAAGTCGACGTTTCGTCACGTTTAAATCTGTTCCTACCGGCACGTGGTCTCCAGGTGTTCGGCCGACGGCTGCTCTGAAGCCTTTATCACTAATGCCAGCATGAAGAACCACATGGCTCGAGTTCACCAGCACTGGGAGAAGCCATATAAAGTACCCCATGGTTTTTAAATGTTTTTGTTTTGAGTGTGGTTGGATTTCTCTGGGTCACTTTTGCCTCTCACCAGTGCAACTATCAAGGCTGTGGAAAAGACTTCAACAAGAGGAACCAACTCAGGAGTCACCAGGCCGGGCACGGGCAGCCTGGTGCTTTCAAGTAAGTGACTTGTATAAAGCTGATGCAAAGAATTATTGACTTATTGAGTTAAATGGGTTTTTTTTCTTAATGTAGATGCAATGTCCAAGGATGTGCTAAGGAATTTCCTTCTCAGGGGAAACTGAAGAATCATGAAAAAGTCCACAAAGGTTGGTCAGTTACCAGGAAAATGGCCAGTTGATTTATGCTTTTGTTTTTGAATTCATGTGTTGAAGCAGGCTGGGATCACTAAAAGGTGCTCTTAAAAAAATAAATCCGCAGGTTACCCTTGCGAGACGGAGTCGTGTCCTTTCCTGGGACAGACGTGGACGGAATATCTTAAGCACAGAAAAGGACACAAAGGTATGACGGTGATACTGAGCCGGAGACTTATTGATGCACATCTTATTGTTCTTCAGACATTATTAAATTGACCTCTGCTGTTCCTCAGTTAAGGTGCCGTGTGCAGAGTGCAAGAAGCAATTCAACAACTCCTGGTTCCTGCACCTGCACAGGCTGCAGGTCCACTGTGGCCAGAGGAAGACGTGGTCCTGCACTAAAGACGGCTGTGAGAAGGAATTCACCCGAAGCTTCCACTTGGAGAGTCACGTTCTGAGTGAGCACGATGGGAAGAAGACCTTCAGCTGTGCCCACCCTGGCTGTGAGAAGAGCTTTGCCATGAAGGTAAACAAACCTAAGGCAGATTAAACTGGTTTCTACTGATGTACACGTTGCTGTTTAATTGTCTTTAATCTTTCTCCTAAAAAGGTTAAAATAAGTAACTGTGCTGTGAAACTATAATTTCTGTTTATTTATGAACTTGCTAAAAATTACTTTCGGTGAGTGGTTGAAATTTTAAATGACTTTGTTTGTTGACTGAATGATTAGGAAAGCCTGTGGCGCCATGGAGTGGTGCATGATCCAGAAAAGAAAAAACTGAAGGTAACGTCCCTTTTTTTTTTTTGGTAATTTTTTTTTTGGATATTGTGTAAATAATCCTCATTTCTTCACCAATATAACAGAAAATCAAAGCCAAAAAGAATCGACCCCAGCATAAGGCACCTGTGGTCAGACCGGCAGCTACAGCCAACGTCACCAAGCTAGCTGCGAAGCTGAGAAAAACTACTTTAGTGGATAAGAAATCCTGAGGCTCGTTCATGAAAATATTTTTGGTTTGATGTTGAAAGAATTTATTTGACATTTGTGTTATCTTCTGAACACGGATTTGGTTTTGTTTTCTGTTGATGAATAACCGTTTCCAATTTTGGTCATGTTTTTGACTTTAAGCCAATTTGATTTGCTGTATTAGTATTTGAGCTAATGCTGACTTGTTCTTGTTTCTGCCACATTTTGATTTTGAGGTTCTTTTGGTTGAAACACTTGTTTCTTGTTTGACTTGGAGTCTTTTCAAAGTGCTTAAGATTTGTGCCAGAAAGTGGCAAAGTTTTCCTGCTATTTTTTGGCTAAATAAGAGCTGTTGCAGGTTATTTTTGTTCAACATTTATAATTTGTCTTCAAATTAACTTACAGTAAGGTTTCAGTTTATCTCTAATACAGTGGTTTCCATGGACTGGCATGTAATCCACTAAAATAAAACTTGCTGTATATGATTAAAAAGTAATGCATGTTTTGTTCTACAGCAGCCCTGCTTTTCTTTTTGCAAAAGTAATGCATGTTTTGTGCTACAGCAGCCCTGCTTTTCTTTTTGCATTTAGGTTTTGTAGAAATAAACAGGGATATTAAAGCCACCTTTTGTCTGTTTCAAGGCATTTTTTTCCCCCCAAACCTCCCGATTTTGACTATAGTAAAATGTTTTTTCTCGTGTAAAGATGCTAAACTTCCATGATCTGATCACTTGTGAAAGAAACATGCTAAAGAAGGATGATTCCTTCGAAGGACACGTTTATTAAACAAACACACATTCACACATGTATAAAAGTCCAGCTGATGGACAGCTGGTTGTGAAGGTGATGAGGCCTAAGTGTGAGGCAGGTTTTTCTAATAAGGCCTGAGGCTTATTCAGATGGATGCAGCGCTGGAGTTGCAGAACATCTTGATTTAACATGATCACATCCCAGGTGATGCAGGACAATGGGCTACGTTATTTTAAATTCTACGTCTACCTGCAATGATGCATCCACCTGAATACAGCCCTGCAATCTACAACTGCCCGGTGAGATGAATACAGCACAGACCGCCTGTTAACAGTTACAGTACCATTCTCCCTGTGGGAGCGAAGACAACATGAACATATGAACACAGCAGTGTGTGTGTGAGAGCAGTCTGTCGAGTGACGTGGCACGATCTGGATCAGGTCCCACCCGGTCAGGACAGGCTTGGTCCTGCTGGGTCTATTACAGTTCTGAATGCATTTGGTCCTGGATTAAGCCCGGTATGGAGCGATGTACAGTAGCGCGTACCAGTTCACTTTGGCCAAGGTCGTTCCCAATATAGAACATTCTGGTGGGAGTTAGCGTGGAGCCCAGCACTGCCCCTGATCAGGCCCAGCTATACCAGACTGCCCGGCCAGGAGACCACAGTGAGGGCCACCCGGCTGCGCTGCTCCTTCAACATGGGCACCAGCGCAGAGTGGCTCATTCCTGTGGTGGAAAGGCCGTTGACTGCCACAATCATGTCACCACACCTAGAGTGACACCAAGAGACAACTGAGTATGTCATAAAAATAGACCTGGACAGCTGCTCTAATGTGGGTTTAACCAGCCCTAAATTAAAAGGCATCACATAAAAATATTGATTTGACAAGACTTCATATTAAAGTGCCTCATAGACAGAGTATATTAAGGACCCAAAAAAACCTCTTTTATTATTAGAGTATTTTGAACTTGTAGTTCAAAATACAGTATCTGATTGTTCCTGTTTTACATTCACCAGTC